TTAATAACATCTATTCCACAAAACAGAAGAAACATCATTTGGGGAATTTCAAAATGGCATCATAAACATTAAATTTAATCACCTCAACCCATCAAATTTCCATAGTTAATGTCCCCTCATACACATTTTATCTAGTTCTAAGCGGTACTAAGGAAAGGGTCTTCCAAGCAGTAAATTACAAGGAATTAGAAGATTTATCATCCTCCATATCAATAACATAAAATCTGCTGGAAATATTAAGTTATTACCTGAACCTAACACATCTTCCAACACTCCCTTAGGGTAAACTATGATCTATCGGCAAGAACCAATAAGTATCCCAGTTTTTTTTAAAGGGCCGGCATTTAGTTTGGCAAATAAATAGAATAAGGCATTAACATTTATTGATGCTCCTAAATCACACCATAGCCCTATCAATCCCGAAAATTACCAAATTTGAACAAGGTATGGCATAACCATACCTTTTGTCTTTGCATTTTTTGGGTAATTTTCTTTGAAAGCACAGCAGAAACATTTTCTCCCACATCAATATACCCAGAATAATTTCTTTTTATTTTAGTGGGCACAACTCTTTTAAAGAAACTTTGCGTACAGGGTATTTTTCTTGATAGATCGAAGTAGTGGAATATTTGATTTCCACTTTCAAAAATTAAATGTCAATAATTTCTTTCCTCTTCTTCTTCTTTTAGAACTTGGCAAATCTTTTGAGGAAAAAGGGGGGCTAAATCTTTCAGATTTCAAGACTTCTCCCAACTCTGCACCATCGGGTTGCTTGACCTTCTCTAAACTTCTTCCCTGGTACAAAGTCACGTACAACAATTTTTTTGCTACTGGAAAATTTCGCAGCTCCTTGCCACTCCTTCAAAGTAATTGCCAATTTGCGATTCTGTTCAGATTCAAAATAGTTTGAGAAGGTAACTTACCTTGAGACTCTAACTTACCCAATGAAGTGGCTATTGGCTAACTTGGGTTCTCCAATTTTGGATGCTAGTTCCGTGTCTCTTGGCTGAAAATTGCATAGTGTTAGTAAGCAAGCTGATTTAACAATGTCCTTTAAGAGACATACCTGAACTAGAAGACCATGATCAGGGTGCTGGCTTTGCCTAATTCCTGAAATTTTGGAAAATTTGGGACGGCTTTGTTTTCCAGTAGCTCAAATTTGGATGGTCTGGCCAGCCCGGATTATAGTGTTTGAATACGGATCAATATTTCCGTTGAGGACCTGATAAAAAATTTCCCCATTGCATTGGCTTTGTTTCTTGACTTTCATCTTGCAAAGGTTTGGACACATGTTTTTGTAGGATGTCCGTTATAGGCCGCAAATTCCAACAGCTTTTAACTTGCTTGCCGCTTTTTCCTACAACTAAATTCCGAACCAAAGAATGTTAAATCATTAATTTTATTTTCAAGAGAAAGAAACCACTTACCTCATTAATATTTTCTCGAAGGTTCATTGGCGAGACCCCGAAATTGTTGAGAATTTTGCAGGCCCATCGTAGAAATCATATTCCCTTGCGGCTTGGGGAGTTTTAATTATCGATTGCTCCACCACTTGCTGCATCTATCAATTTGCCTCTCCATAGGTAATAAACCTTCATAAAAAATACTGTATTAAAGGCTTGATTCCAGATAAATCCATGTTGCGGACAGCTTGCGCACAATTTTCTTAAATCTCTCCCAATACTCATGTAGAGTTTTTCCATTATTCTTTTGTCCGACTACCACAAATATCTCTTCTAATGCCTGGCAGGACCTTGAAGCAAGAAAGAATTTATCTAAGAAAGTTCTTACCCATTTTCTGTCCATGACGTAATAGATCTGGAATGGCCAAATAAAATAACCAACTGCTTTTGCAGAATGGCTAAAGAGAAGGAAAAGCTCTTAATGTTTATTTGTTCCTCAGAAAATTCATGGGGTTTTCATGTAAGAGCTTACAACATGAAATTCCTTTAAATGTTTGTGAGATCTTCATCCAACAAACCTCTAAAAGTTGGGCAATAATTTGGATCAAACCTGATTTTAAGCTCAAAAATGCCAAGCCTCCAAGGCTGGGTATGTGATTGCAAAAGGAGTTTATTAATTTGGAGGTGTTGCGCACTCCCTTAATGTTCCTCTGATCAAGCCCATCTCTTCTTTCCGGTTTCAAACTCACCATGAACTTTCAGAAAGTTCAAGAAGCAATAGTCTCTCTGGGTGTGAAGTAGTTGTAGGAACTTCAGGATCAATTGTTTGCTCTTAGAGTTTACTGTAGCAGTTGTAGACCAATTGGTTTCTTCTGCTTTGCCTCTTTTCTCAATCGTCCTATCGCAGTTTTCTCGATTTCAAAATCGTATTTGAGATCTGTACTATCTGATCTGGTCAATAAAATAAAAAAAAAAAAAATTAATGTAATGTAAACTCTAGTCCCCCGGCAACGGCGCAAAATTTGGCCGTGTCGAATCCGCCAAAAAATATTCTCAACTACCAATTTTAAAGAACTTGAAGAAAAATGGTGAGTAACGGTCAAATCCACAGAAGACTAGAGAATTAAAAAAAATATTAATTTTTTAAAACCAGAAAATAAAAATGGAATTATGAATGAGAGGATTGGAAAAATTATTGAATCTAGTAAAATTAGTAATTTAAAAAATGGGAAAATTTCAATTGAGAAATATTCTTCGAGCCAAGGTCACTGAATTAATATTGGAGAAATCTTGTATCTAGTATCTTCGTGTTGATCACTGAATTCAAATTGACTCATGAATATAAATCAATAAATTGGTTATGGTTTACCAAAAATCCTAGTCTTTCCGTAGTAACAGAATAAGCAAGACAACGCGCTTTGATTAATCCCTTACCAATAACTAATTTTGACATGCGCCTAAAATTAAAATATATTGGTAGCATTAAGAATAAGAAAGACCCAATTCAATCTAATAAACAACATGTGTAGTCTATTCAAGAAGATTGTTTATCCCCTTAATATAACTTGAAAATCTGGCTCTAAACAAGCTATATTAATTGCTACAAATTGTTAACTCAATCAAACAATTACGGATTTGATTATATTAACTAGCACCTGTCACTATAAATTAATCAAATAACTGGCCATTTACTTAATTAAATAGAACAACAATATCCATCTAAACCATTAATTGCAAGAGATAAACAAATATTGAAGAGTTAAATGAGTAAAAGAAGAACAATTCTCACAACACTTCGGTAGAACTAACACTTGATTAAACCTTAAGCTGGAATTGAAAGCTGGAATTGAAAGAATTCAGCCACGTATGGCCATTTCCTTACCTTGTAGACAGGTCCAAAACCACCTTGCCCCAGTTTGTTGATACTGGAAAAATTATCTGTGGCTTTAGCTATTGTAGGCAAATCAAATATTGGCAATTCCATGTCTTCCTTTACCTCTCCATCTTCATAACATTCTATATAACTGCCTTTTACTTTTTCTCGCTTTCTCTGTTTCTTTTTCCTTATGCAACCTATAATCCCCACCACAAGCATTCCTATAAGTATAGCAGAGCTGACAATGATACCAATCAGCTCCTTTTTGTACTGATCTGAAATATAAAAAAGTATTCTCAGTGGGTATATTCATGAGATAATATGGCAATAACCTAACTAACTAATTCCTTTTCTTGAAACGGATAAATTTTTTGGCAGAAAAGAAAGATTTGGACCAATGAGCCCAGACTCGATTTTACTGTATTCAGGGCTGTGAGTTTCGAGTTTCAATCCTCGCCAGAGCCAAATTGAAAGAATTAGGGGAAAAAAAAGAGTTTTTTTTATACCTGCTGGTTTTGAAGAGGACATTCTTATATAGATATCTTGACCACCTTCAGTGTAATATCTCATATCAATCAGTTCGCCAAACCATAGCACGCAGCCACTGCCTTCTCCAATGATGTTTGAATTTGCATATGCAGTGCAAGAACAGTTTTTTGAACACTCTTCTTTACATTCTGCAAGTGTCATATTCATATCATACCAAGAATCTGATGTATCTGGTAACTTCAAACCTATATACTTATGAAAAACGGAACCCTTTTTGCAATCCAATGGAGTTTTTCGAACACAGTGATTGCTCCTATTTTTGGAAGATTCCAATATAAAGCCCTCTAAGCAATCACATGTATGAGAATTATCAATAATATTACATTTCATATTAGCACCACAAACTGAGTATGTATCACATTCATGTAATGGTTCAAAACATATATGTATCCAAGGATGATTTATTCTCACAAATTTCTCCAAGAAGCCCGATCGATTCATTAATAACCTGGACAATAGAGTACCTTCAACCTTATAACTATAATAGACTCCATTTTTATTCAATTCAAATTCATATGTGAGGAAATCAACATATGATGGCAACAGGGGAGTTCCTGTAAATCGAACGCCATTCCACGAACCAAGTCTGTAATGCTTAGAAGTTCCATTTCTCACAACAAGCTGAGGAAATCCAGCCGGATCTATCCAGAATGAAATGAAAATTGGCCGTGGCCAGGATTATCTTCACTCTTCCAAGATGTTAGGAACGTCTCTTGACCGGTTAAAAAATTCCTTCCTATTTTCATTCCAGGAAGTAATGTATCACATGGAGAATCAAAACTCTGCCACAGCAAATTAGTAGCATTCCTATCTTGGACAACTAAATTTCCCGAGTCTAAAAGCTGCACAACTGGATTTTGGACATCGCTTGTTTTCTTAGATGACCAAACTGTGTTATTTTTGCTATTTAAGATGATTAGAAGTCCTTGGTTAGAGATAAGCAAAACTCCTGAGCGATCAATAAGTGGGGTTTCTCTGTTTGCTACCCAAATTACTGCATAAGCTGATGGATCTTTGTACCATATTCCTAAATTACGCTTTTTTGAATTTTCTGGTTCGAAAACGAAAATCCCAGCTCGAACTTTCTCCAACCAGCTGAAACTAGAGTCTCACACCGTCTTTGGATGGATTGACCGGGAATATAATGGTGCTAGGGATGCACGAAGATGGATTGACCGGGATTAATGGTGCCTAGGGATGACGAAGAAGGTTGTCGTAAAAAGAGCAAGAAGAAGAAGTAGCTTGCCAAAAGCATTTTCATGGTAGTGGTTGATTTTTTTTTTCTTGTTTGTTTTTTTCAGATTGCTCTTTTACATGGAGAGTATTTGTTCATGCTAAAATAGTAATGTGGTTGAACAGCTTTGTACATATATTACCATTTGTGACATATAAACATTAGGATAAGACTCTTCTAAAAGAAAAAAAAGAAAGAAAAGGAAAAAAAAAAAAAAACAAAGAAAAAACATTAGGATAAGACTTGTTTATACGGGATATATGGAACGACCGTGTTTTATTTGGTTTGATATATATGATAAAACTTGCCTAACGGCCATTAATTAATTTTTTTTCTCATTTTATTCTTATATCTATTAAATACAGTAACTATTTTAGTAACAAATTAATAGAGTGAAAATTAAAATCGAAATAACGAGGTGACATAAGGAGTAATTTAATTAAATTAAAAAGTATTTTGTTATAATTTATGAGATTTAATTGTTTCTTTAATCATTATAAAAAACCTTGAACAAGAAATAAAAATAGATGAATATATTATATGGAATCCACTGGGTTAAATTGCAATATATTTAAGATCAGTCATTTAGGGTTAGCAATGAGTAAACTTTAGTTAAAACTCAAAAATTGAATGCAGAAAATAAGCCTAACATCTGTCAGAAATAGCTAAAATTAAACCAAATCAATTAAATTAAATCTTTTCAGTATATATATATTTTTTGGTTTGGTTTAATTCAGAATCGAACCTGCCAATTGGACACCCAACTAGTACAGCCCCCACCTGCGAATTGGCCAACCGAAGAGGTCATTTTCCAAGAACCAGCGTTTGGAAGACTCCAGTCCAACCTTCGCACCAACCGCGATAAATACACCCATCGTCCATAATTTCTGCATTCAAACCTAATAAATCTTATTGCTCCTTCCGAATAGAATAACAGCGAGCATTACCTAAAATAAAAAGATTAATAAAGTAGTAAATTATACTTCCTCTATCACAAAAAAATAATTCACTTTCTATTTTCATATAGATTGAAAAAGTGAGAATTATTATAACTAAAGGATAATTTTATTCATATAATTTTTCTATTATGCTCATCTTAAATAACACATGAGTAATTATTATATTGAAACAACAAGTAATAATTAATAAGGATTATTGAACATAAAATAAAATTTAATAAAGATATAATAGACAATTTAAGGATTAAGTATAATGCAAAAAAAATAAAAGTAGGACGAATGAACTATCTTTTTAGGACGAATGGAGCAAATCCTTTTAAAGTTTTTAAACGCGTTTAAAATTAAAGAAGTAATTAATTTTTCTAAATTATAACAAAATTAAAGATAATTTGACCAAATTACCTTTTATCTCAAAATTAAGAGTAACTTATCAAGATGCTTATTATATCTAATGTAAATAAAAATAACAGTGGAAAAATATTATTTATTACTCAAACTATTTAAAATGACTATTTGGTAATTCACGTTTATTGTATAATTCCTCATATTTGTTATTAAATTACTATTCAATCCCTTATTTAATGTAAATACGACAGAAAAACTAAATAGTTTAATAGCATCAAATCTTAGAAACTTTTGCAATATTTTTTTTCCAAATAGTAGAGGTGAAATAGTAATTTTGATTAAACTTTAGGGACTTTATAATAATTTACTCCTAAATTTTGTTGGTTTTGGATTGATCATAATAAAAATTGAAAGCAAACAAATAATAATTTTAATATAAGTAAAATGTAATAAACGAAAATCAAGCAATAAGCAACTTGAGAATTGCCAATAACTTTTCCAAATTAACAATAATCTACTGTTGAAAGAGATCAGTATTGTCTTAAACCTAGTATATTATTATTATTATGGCTAGTCTAATTAAACCTAGTATTATAATAATATTGAAAATTAAAATCTCTCATCCCCTTTGTTGTGGAAGAAAGATTCATATAAGTTCGAATGGGAACATGAAAAATAATACCACGTGTTTTTAGGCAAAAAGAGCATTTTCATACCATTTTGCATATTTCACCGTCTTTTACGAAGCAAATTGGTTTAAAATGTAAAATGTATTGTTACGAAAGTGTCATCATACGGAAAAGTCAGGGATTTAAATCATTTTGAGAAAAATTTTTTTTATTTTATAAAATGTTATTTTTTTATATTTTATGAATAATATTAGATTTTTAGTATATTTTATGAATAATATTAGATTTTTAGTAATATAAAAATTAATAGAAAATTACGTATGTAAATTAATAGAAAATCATATATATAAATTAAATTACATTTACATTTAACGGGGGAAATTCAATGAATACAAAAAATCATATTATGCAAGTTAAAAAAACTAAGTTTATTAAGTACGGATTTTAAGGTTCCCGTCAATTTTCTCAAACAAAAATAGGATAACGTCGTATTGTATTTGGCTATATGTGCATGAAATTTTTGTCTTCTCATGATACTGTCTTCTCATGATACAGTAGTTCAATGATGTTGTTGGCTCTCCTGTTGCTATGTGGTCGAGTCCAAAAGAGGCGTCTTTTCAGATTTTGCTGTCTTCCAGGATAAAGCCAAACTGTCATCTTTTTAGGGAAGGTGTTCTTTTCTTATATTACTAAATTTTGCTCATTTTGCCTTTCCCATAGCATATGTTCTTTGATTTCTAGTGAACTAATCATTTATGTCCTTTTCACTGTCAACAGTTTTGTTTATGTTTCTAATAAGTTATCTGAGCAAGCATTATCTATCAAGTTCTAAAATAAAATACACCGTTCCCATTCACATCTAATCTTTTATATTTTTCTCACCAAGGTCTGTTTGAAAGAATTTATGTGCAATAATTTAATTCAATTTTATTGAATGAATTATATTTTTATAACATCAAACTTATGATTTTATAATATTTGAAATTCTTTTCTTACGATAAATTATTTAATTTCAAATTAAAATTTGACAATAATTTTTTAGTTAAATTCATCCATTCTCGCTTTCAGCTGTTTAGAATTTGAATTTACTATTCACTTTCAATTTAGGGTTTAATCTTTATTAAAATAAAAGTTGAAGTTGAAAGCTTAAAGTTGAAAAATTAAAAATCTAAGGGGGGCTTAATAGGTAAAATTTAATAAATTCAGGAAGCTTTTTAAACGTTTTGTTTCTTTTTATACATATTTATTTTAAAAACTTTTACTTGTTGTAGTTATCTTATATATGTCTTTTTCTGCAATTTAATCAATGTTACTTTAAAAAAAAAAAAAAAAGTCCCGGCATCACTAGATGCAACAAGATCTTCTTTTTTGGGTTTCAAAAGTGACAATGTAATAATTTTCATAAGCATTTGCAGTGGGAAGCATAAGCATTTGAAAATGACATCAAAACCTGAGAAGCAGGTAATCTATTAATTAATAAACCTGGGGTCTTATTGGCATGTTGAAAAAAAAAAAAAAAAAGGTTATATAGATTAGCGCGTGGGCCTTTATTCTTTAATAAAAAAATAGTAATTGTATTAGGTGGGAGGAGGTATATTAATTTTATTTTTTTATTTTTTTAAACTGATCAGGGAATTTCACACACACACACACACTATATATATAATATATATATATATAATATATATATATATAAGCTGAAACAAAAAAAAAAAGTTTAAAGCGCTTACTGGTTCAACATTTAATTTTTTTAATTTTGAAAATTTTCTTTTGTTTCTATATTGTGATTGGACAATATTTTAATTAATAATTTAATATAAATTATCCATATTAAATTATTTAAATCATTAAATTTTATCTGTATATAACTATCTATCTTAAAACACGTGTTTTTAAGTGTTTAAATTATAAATTACCTACAATTTAGCTGATTTTTTAAATTTTTAAATTGAAACACACAATATAATTTCTAAACAACATTACTCCTTGAATGGTTTCAACATTATGGCAAGGATAGATGAAGTAATTGGAATGGGTTGAATAATGTGTTTTTTTAAATAAATATATAGATATGTAGATAATTAAGATTTTAATTTGAAATTTTTGTAGATCTCATCTATATCCATCTATGAATTTGAGAAATATCTATCCCCACCAATATTGTTTGCTCTTTTATCATAAAAATATTGCACATTAAAATAATTGAGGTTAATGTCAAAATTAAATTAAATTCTTTAGCTATTTTCTATAATTAATTAATGACAATATTATTTTTTTATTAATGACATAATTTTTAAAATTATATTTAATAGTTTTTATGTTATTTTAAAATTTATTTTTTTTAGCAAAAAAAAAAAAAAAAAAAAAAAAAAAAAAAAAAAACTGAACCTAAGAAGAGTTACATGTTACACATAAAATCAAACATCACAAATCATCTGATTTCATCACCGTTTATAACTAGTTTCAAACTCCTTGTAGAATCTATTGGAATAGAACCAATTTCAGTGTAAAACTGACCTATGGCTGTCACATTTGCAATATGATTACATTTTAGATAGATATTTGCTAAATAGGGATAATGAAAATTCAAATTTAACTTTAATTTTTATTATATAGGTATATCTCCCTTTGTCATTCTATTTTTACTTTTTAGGAATTTTTGAAATTTTATTTATTTTATAGCAATTTAATTGGTTCTTTAAATTTTTTAGAATTTTATTCCATAATAATTAATTATTAATTTGGCATCTTTGTGTTAAATAATCATCATCATATCTTATCAATTAAACAAGGGATATTATATTAAACTAGTCAGGTACCTGATGGTTGTCGATTCCACAAAAAATTAATTATTGAATTTTAATTGCTGAATTTTAATTGCAGAAGTGGTGAATTCAAGTCGAACCCTAGAGACTGAAATCTTAAATTTGTGATATTTTGTAAAGAGAAAAAGGGGGGTTGGCTTTTGAAAATTCACTTAAAGAAATCAAAATAAAACTGACTATTAAACTTAAATTGGAACTCAGTCTAATAAATATTCAATTTAAGGCAATTTATAATCCAATGTATAAATGATCACAGACAAATTTTGAATGAATTACTCTTTAAATACCTAACTGAAACTTACCAACAAGCATAATAAATTCCCTGACGTCCCTATTACAGTTAATTTGAGCCCAGCACCCTT